GTTGGGCTGACTGGAAGAATCCAGAGATACCCTCATATACAGGGAGGAATATCTCTAGCCGAAAGGGGTCAGTGACTGTTAGCTTTTTCACCCTTTGTGGAAGAGGGAAAATGGAGAGCTGTCAGGTGGCGCTGGGAGTGGTGGGAAAAGGAAAAAGGAGAAAACCTCAAAGCTCTCAGATCAAAAAGGGCCAGAAATGGGGAGTGAAAGTTGCAAGGTACCAGGGTGAGGGGGTAGGCTCATGAAGGGAATTGAAGAAGTGGAGAACGCGGCAATGATGGAGTATGGGGGAAACTCCAAGGTAACACAGCCCCTGAGACTTTGAGGGCTTCTTTTCTTTCAGCTTGAGTTGTCCCTATGGAAGGGAAGCTAAGATTCTCTCTCTGCTTTTGCACAGAATTGCTTCTCTCTACCCCTATGAATTCTTTACCTTGATGTAGTCGAAGGGGAGTAGAAGCTATGAGGGAAGACAAAGGACTCCCATTCTTAAGTCCTTCAACCTCCCTATCTCCCAAGCCCAGATCCAAGATATTTTGGATTGAGGACAGGAGTGATAAAGTGAGACTAGTTTCCTGCTGGGGCTCTTTCAGGCTTGGCATGCTGGCTATTTAAAGCCTGGGGTGGGGATTGAGGGAGGTTGGTTGGGGGTAAGAGACTTGCAAGCCAGCCAAAAGCCATGTCTCCTTTTGTTGAGGGGCCTCTCTTGAGTTTTCTCTGTGCCTAAAGTTCTGCCTTGAACAGGGAGAAGATGATCAGCCCAAACTCAGCAGCTGTCTACCAGCGAAGGCAGTGCCAGTTGCTGGAGGCTTTACCTGGCAGAGCCTTTAAATGTACCCATATCACTAGGTTAGCAGGTTGCCTTAAAGAGATTATGACCTCTTGTATCTGGGTCTTTTTCTTTTCCTGCCCAAGGGTATTTTTGCTTCCCTTTTCCTTGCCAATGCACACTCCCACCATCACCCCCCTTTCAGGGACATTTGTGGGAGAACAGTCGCTGGAAACCGCTTGTCTCTACCACAGTAGCAGGGTTGGGGAAGTGGCAGGAGGAGAAAACCCCTCCTCCCCACCTCCTCTCCCTCAATCTACAGCAGACACATACCTTTCTGGCTTAATTCCTAGTTTTGGCAGCGTACCAGGCCCAGCTGTCAAAGGAACTCCTCATGCCTGTAAGGGGCCCTTGGTGACCCCAATGACAAAGCTAAGCTTGACAAGAGCTTCCTATGAGGAGCTAACCATCCATGATAACATGGAGGTCCCTGTCCAGGATCCCACCCTGTCTTGAATAGGGGGATTAAGCCACTCTAAAAGCCTAAAAGCTTTTCTGCTTGGAAGTACCCATGCCAGCTTTCAATGGACTATCTGGGACTGGCTGGGCTATTAATAGCTCTGAGTATTTTGAGATCCCTCTCCCCATCTTAAAGAGCACAGAGATTCTTAGAGAGGTGGCAGTAAGCAGAGCAGAGCCAGAGATACAAGAGAACCCATCAGCCTGGGAAGGGGGCTTAGAGCTTGTGCCAGGCCACGAATAGAGTGGAGCCTCCATGGGTACGGGATGATCATGCTGAGCCCTTGATCAGCAGATTCTGAGCTGGCACTCACATCCAAGTGGCCCCACCCTTTGCTCTGGAGAACACAGGGCCAGGGCTGGCTTCTTGACCTCAGCAGCTCCTCTGGTGCTGGGCCAGCCACCTGAGCTGTAGAGGAGTGGTGGAGGAGGAGCACTAGGGTAACACTTAGAGACAAGGGCTGCTCCTGGGCAGAGTACTGGTGAGCCAGGCAAAGGACTTTGTGGCTTTAATTTGTGTGCAGGTAGCAGAGGTAGCAGGCCGTGCCGGGGGGGCATGTTGCAGTAACCAGTGGTCCAGGGGATGTTACGGTGGACAGTGCACCTGGAGGGCGGGCCCCGCAGGGTGAACCATGCTGCAGTGGCTGTTGGGCACCGGGTATTCTCCTTCGGGGGTTACTGCTCTGGTGAAGACTATGAAACACTGCGTCAGATTGATGTACACATTTTCAATGCAGGTAAGCTAATGCTGGGAACATCCCTGGGTGCCCGCATTAGGAAGGGGAACGGGTGGTTGAATGAGTTTTGGTGGTGGGCCCCGTGGTTAGAGGGGATAAAGGAGTGAACATGTGGTTTGGGAAAAGTGGACAGCCTGGAAGGAGGTTCCCAGGGCTGAGCCTAGCTGTGCCCACAGTGTCCTTGCGCTGGACAAAGCTGCCCCCGGTGAGACCCACCATCCGTGGGCAGCCTCCTGTGGTACCATACATGCGGTATGGACATTCAACCGTCCTCATCGACGACACAGTCTTCCTTTGGGGAGGGCGGAATGACACAGAAGGGGCTTGCAATGTGCTCTACGCCTTTGATGTCAGTGAGTATGGGCTATGTTCTTCCAAATGGTGCCTTACGGGACTGGGAAGGTGTCGGCTGGATTGGGAATAGGGCACCCCAGAGTCTAGGAGCAATGTCAGAGGTGCTTACCTGATCCATCCTCTCATCTCCTTCAGATACTCACAAGTGGTCCACACCCCGAGTGTTAGGAACAATTCCTGGGGCCCGGGACGGACATTCGGCTTGTGTCTTGGGCAAGACCATGTACATTTTCGGGGGCTACGAGCAGCTGGTAGGTCTGGCAAGAAAGAAGAGGTTTAGGGTGGGAATGAAAAAGAGGAAGGGGAATTGAGGTTGGTGGAATGGGAGGCTTGGGCTTGTTTTACAGGTTTTTGAGGGCAGGGATAGAGGTCAGAGTGTGACAACTGACTCATTTTTTTTTTTTAAATATATCTTTATTGATTTCAGAGAGAGGAAGGGAGAGGGAGAGAGAGGGATAGAAACAACAATGATTAGAGAGTCCTCATTGATTGGTTGCCTCCTGCACCCCGCCCCCTGACTGGGGATCAAGCCCGCAACCCGGGTATGTGCCCTGACCGGGAATCAAACCTCGATCTGGATCATAGGTCGATACTCAAATGCTGAGCCATGGATGGCCCAGCTACTGACCCCATCTTATATTCCTTCACTTCCTTTCTCTTCCCACTCAGGCGGACTGCTTCTCCAATGACATTCACAAGCTGGATACCAGCACCATGACATGGACCCTTATCTGTACAAAGGTCTGCCCTTTCTTCTTTCTCCCAGATTCCCACACTCAATTGAATAAACTATAGGGAGCTCAAATAGTGAGAGCAGATCCTCTCCCAGCCTTTGTGCTCACCCTCCTCTCTCTGCTCCTGCCCAGGGCAATCCTGCGCGCTGGAGGGACTTCCACTCAGCCACAATGCTGGGAAGCCACATGTATGTCTTTGGGGGCCGTGCTGACCGATTTGGGCCATTCCATTCCAACAATGAGATTTATTGCAACCGCATCCGAGTCTTTGACACCAGGACTGAGGCCTGGCTGGACTGTCCAGCCACTCCGGTGCTGCCCGAGGGGCGCCGGAGCCACTCAGCCTGTGAGTATCTGTTATGTCCCTGCAGAGTTCCCCTTCCCAACCATTGTCCTCGCACTTTTGACATACCTCTCTCCTTCCAGTTGGCTACAATGGGGAGTTGTACATCTTTGGTGGCTATAATGCAAGGCTGAACCGGCATTTTCATGACCTGTGGAAGTTTAACCCTGGTAAAGAACACTACCTTTAAGGGAAAAACAAGGAGCAATTGAAGGGGGAGGCAAAGAAAAAAATAATCCTGAGTAGATAAGAGGTTGTGGTTGGAGAGGATATCTGGACTGGCAGGTATTAAATCTCTATATAAACTTCTCTTTAGTGTCCTTTACCTGGAAAAAGATTGAACCGAAGGGAAAGGGGCCATGTCCACGCCGGCGCCAGTGTTGCTGTATTGTTGGTGACAAAATTGTCCTCTTTGGGGGTACCAGGTTAGTAGGAGAGAGGGGAGGACTCAGGGAAGGGCCTAAGTCTATGACTAACCTGGGAGGCGTTTGAGCAAGAAGGGTCTCATGAGTATCCTTTCCTCCTTCCTTCATCTCTCTTTTGATCCCTACAGTCCATCTCCTGAGGAAGGCCTGGGGGATGAGTTTGACCTCATAGATCATTCTGACTTACACATTTTGGACTTTAGTAAGTATACTTATTTCCAAAGTGCTCCTGCTATCAGGGTCTCTCTGTCTGTAGATGGTGACATCCAGGACCGAATCCTTTCCCAGGTTTTGACCATCTTCCTGTCCCATTCTTCCTCTAAAGGCCCTAGTCTGAAGACTCTGTGCAAACTGGCTGTAATTCAGTATAACCTGGACCAGTCCTGTTTGCCCCATGACATCAGGTACAGTGAGTGGTTGAAAAGGAGGGATTGGTTGAGGGTAAGTGGCAGCACAAGCATGACCTCATTATGGAGGAGATAGAGTTCTTGTGGAGAGTGAGATAGAAGGAGATACAGGCTGTCCACTGGGTAAATTACATGAAAAAAATTGTTTTTCAAACCTGAGACCTGAGCCTATGCAGTTGTTTTTGTCAACATGGTGAGAAAGTTTGATTAAATCTTAGAACCTAGCTGCAAGATAAAGACAAGTTTAGAGCCTCTGGATCACCTTAGTTATTCCAGAATTAAGGGAGGTTCTTCCTAGCTACTTACCTTTTAATTTCACTCTTAGGTCCAACTCAAACACCAAAAGTACTTTGTGTATAATTGTGCCCTTCTGGGTTATTCTGTGACACACCCCTTTCCTTCTCTCAGTTCAGTTTAACTTTTACTTGCTGAGGGTCTGTGTGTTCAGTATTTGGTGACATGGTATGTACAAGGCTGATCTGGTGGCTTATAGGCTGCCCAGGACTGACATATATGCAAGTACGTAATACTAAGCAGACTGTATAGTAAGGGTCTTGGCATAAGGAGGTTCTTCGTAAATCTTTGTAGAATGACAGAATTTTAAAAAAAAAAAAAAAGGAGGAATTTAATTTTAATATGATGGGATGGGAAGGCCGTAGTGGGGACAGGAGAGCCAAATAAGGCTCCCTGAAAAGGGATAGTAGTTGAGAGCAAAAATGGGCATTCCTGATGTGAGGAGGCACAGCTGCCTGGTTAGATCTGAGCAGAGGAAAGGTAGTTTGGGAAATTTACTAAGATGTGTACACCCATGCTTTTCTCCAGGTGTTGGGCACAAAAATATAAACAGGAAGTCACATGAGCTTACAGGTGGATTTGTGGGTGTATTGGATTTGGTGGTGGGTGGGGCCTAATTGTTAAACTTAGTAGGGCTGTAAGGAAGAGGTGGCTGTGGGTAGTTAAGCTTTGAGGAAGTTGAAGGCACTGTATTCATAGTTTTGTTAGCAATTCTGGGCTTGGGGGTGGAGGCTCCCCCCTCTGTCCTTTATACCTGTCACTGTTGGTCTTCCAGGTGGGAGCTGAATGCCATGACCACCAACAGCAATATCAGTCGCCCCATCGTCTCCTCCCATGGGTAGAAGAAAGTTTTTGCCACCACCCCTCCTGAGCCTGCTGTTGTCTTCAGTGTCCCTGCCTGTCTCTCACCCGCCTGCCCCTTTGGACCCTGGTATACCTCCACATGGAGTTGTTGGACTAGAGGTGTTTTTTGTGCTGTGAACTAAGTGGGGAGCTGTGGGAGGAGGGCTAGGTTCCCTCCCTCCTTGGGCCGAGGGCCCCTTCCCTTGGTGCTCTGTCCCATCCACCTTCTTCCAACTGCTCCTGGGCCTCTGCTCTGCCCCAGGCCAGCCAGGCTCTGCTGAAAAGTGAAGGGAATGGGGAGAAGGGAGAAGCAAGCAGTGTCTGGTCCTCAGAAGCTTCCCTCCAGCTCTATTTTCACCCCCTGCCCCTGCTTGAGCCATGAGCATTGATTTTTGGAAGCAGAGAGGTTGCAGCTGTTGCCATGAAACCTCCTTCTCCCTGACCTGGGGAAGGTGAGGACCAGCAGATAATCCTACCCCCTTTCCTTGAGCTGTTGCTGTAACCCTGACGCTCACAGCCAGCTCAGATTTTATAAAAATGAATTAAAAACTTCCAAACCTATAATATGTCTTTGTGGAATAAATGGGGATGACAGGAGTTTGCCACGGGGGCGGGGTGCTGGGGTTTTGGCTTCTCAGCCAGGTGCATTCGCAAATCAAGGACCACGGCGGCCTGGCCTTAGTTTCTCCTCGGCGCGGAGCCCAGGACCACGCGACAAACGGGTGGCCACGTTATCTCGAGTTGCGGTTCCTTTCGGCCTAGGGCTCCCGGCCCTCCTTTCCCCACAGCAGCCCCACACTCCGCTTGTTGGGCTCTCGCGTCACCAGTGGCGCGGACTCCGCCTCCCGAGCTGCGGGAAGAGGCGAGCGGGAGCCGCGGGAGCGGAAGTAACGCCATTTAGCCGCGCCGCGCCGCGCGGGACCATGCCGAGACCTAGCT